GGAGAACAGATTTTTTTAACTTAATATAACTCAAATCTAGTCACAGCTCTGCTTCCTGGGACCCCAGATTATCCATTTCCTGTCTAAGCCTAGACACTGTGGATGCTGGATGAATCCCTCCGAGTCTATAACCGAGTCTGTAGGGGCTACCTGCTCTGCCCCTACAACATCTGAGAAGATTCTCAGCCTTCATTCCTGATTGCCTCTCCTGGGAGCTCCCCGCTGTGTTCCGGCAGCTTCCAACCGCCTTGTCCTTCTCATACTTCCTGGTCTCTTGGTCTCTAGGGGAGGAAGGTGCTTTTCTCTCAGGCTCAGAGTTAAGCTCCCAGATTTAGGACTTCCCATGTCGACTTACAGATAACATCTCTTGCCCTTTCTGTAAGTCTGTAAGACCCCCACATCCCTGTCTGGTCCAGTCAGTTGAAGCATTAATTAATGTCAAAACTCAGTTTCTCCTACCTGGATGGCAACCTTTACACTCATATTTTCCAGAGCATCTTGATTTCAGTCGTTCTAATCCATCCCAATCAACCAACACCTATTTATCCAACCACATGTCCCGATTTGCTCAATACAATCATCATACTTATATTTTTCCCCTGTTCTTACAACAGGACACAAAGCCACAAAGAGTAGCAGGCGGCATTCTGGCCAATACCTCATGTCTGCTCCCCCATCAGGCAAGCAGGAGACTGTATCCATCCCAGTCTTCAAAGCTTCCAACTCCTAACCTGTGCCCCCTCCTGTGGACTTGCCCTCAATTCTTCCTGTTCCTTATCTGAGAGAGGCCTCTGAGTGAAAACTCATTTGCAGAGCAGAGATAATTGGCTCACTCCAAACCCAAGTAATGTTCAAGCCGGCCTTGCCTCAGGTTACCTACTCCCCTCTTGACCCCGGCTCCTCTCTGGGCCCTCCTGTCGGGGAGTGATCTTACGGAATTCTTACACTTTACAGCTGCACATCAAAATCCTTTAACCATACAGCAACAACAACACACATACAATAAGAGGGAGGTTGATTACTCATACACACTCTTACAGGAAAACAGGCAGCTCTCTCCCTGGTAAGAAACATACGGGTTTGCACCCCACCGTGAGAAAATTCCCAAGATGCCCCAGAATGCAGTTCTGTTTCTTCATGACCATGACGTGCTGTAAAGCACGTCAGCTGCTCCTTGTTGCTGTGCAGATCACCAAACATCGGGTCACTGAGACAGACTGCAGCGCTGGCTCACACAACTGACAGGATTAAGAGATGGTGCTTTGTCAGCCCTGACTGAGTCCCAGACAGCCCCCAGCACACTCAGGTGAGCTGTGAGAAAATTTGCAGGTGGGGACCACGATGTGTCTCGGTGGTATGCTGCAGAGGTTTTCTCTTTGGCCGTGTATTTGTATTGTCTGTTCTGCAAAGTTTGCAGTCTGGTGGGGGGCAGGGGTTCCTATCCATAAAAACCAGTCCTTTATCACTTAACTGGTTTCAAGGATGAACCCCATATGCCTCACAGGACTTTTGTGAGGCTCAGATAAGATTAAATATGTGAAAGAGTTCTAAAAATATAGAGTTGTGGGCAAATGAAAGGTATGAATCATTTAATTACAAATTTCACGTAAACACAGAATCAAATAATTTATACCAGATTTGGAGGCATGATTACATAGACAGATTTCTTTCCCCTAGCATGCGATACTGTGTTCCTTCCCAGGCCTGGGCAGGGATGTTGTTTATAATCTTGAAGGGTACTGGCCTCCTAAAGCAGCTGATATTTTCTAAGAACCAGCAGGACATTCATTTCTAAAGGCAAAGCCACAAAATTACAAAACCAGATCATAAAATAAGTATGTAAGTAGAAACTGAAAAATGATACATGGGAATATTTTTAAGCAGATGAAAGATGAGTTTAATATACTGTATTAGATTATATCTCTTTGATGGTATAATCCGAACGTTGTAAGACATTTCTCTTAATGGCATAAGAAACACTTGAATGAAATTAAAGGCAACATAGATACTATCATTTGTAAAACTTGCATTTTAGAGCGGTGGAAAAACAGGCTTGGGTTCCAAAAGTCCAGGGCTAAGAGGCATCTGAACATTAAATCATCAGCCTTTCCCTCCCAGGGTTGCTATGGTGACATAGGGAGCCTCTCACCACACAGCCGCTCCTGCCTGCACTTCGGCAGTAAAAGCTTTCACTGAACACATGTTGGAGTTTTTAGGCATATACCCCATCATCAAATACAAAGACATAATGGAGGCAGCTCTTCCTGAGTCATTTTCAAAACAGAAGTTCTGTCTATGTTCTTTATCCTCTACTGATGGGCTCCTTATGGGGTTATAGAATTCACTCATTCATGCATTCATTCATTTGACTGTTATATATTGAGAGCCTACTATGTGACAGGACCTCTACTAGGCACTGCCTACAATCCCTGGTGAAGAGATCTCTGGTGAACACGGACAAATAAATAAGGGATTCTGATATAAGAGCATAACAGCTCTCCTGGGGTAAATTAAATACAGATGTCCTTGAAGTATGTAATGGAGGAATCTTACCCATTTGGGGGACCAGAGGAGATTTCCTGGAGGAAGCTGTCTCTAAAATGAAACTAATGCATCTTCAGGAGTTGAGGAGGCCAGGTGGGTGGGGTACAAGAGATGATCTAAACAAAGGGACCAGCATGTGCAGCAGCATAGGGGGAAAGAGGCCAGATACCTCCAGAGAACTGAAGATTCTACAGTTTGAGGGGTGTCTATTTGTAGAGGGAGGAGGGTAGTGGAGGAGAACAGAAAAGGGACAGTATACCTGGTAGGAGAGAGAGGCCTGGCAAGAAAGGAGATCAGAGAAGTAAAGAAGACTATATCATCAAAGACCTTTGTGCCACATTAAGGAGTTTCAGTAATAGTTGGAGGACATCTGTGAAATCATCAACAGGTTTTAAAGAAGAAGCATGTCTCAATTTGGCTTTTCAGAAAGACCTTGTGAAAAAAATTGAAAAACTTGCAAGAAAGAAATAAGAGGCAAAACTGGACGCAAAGCAACTTTAGTCAGACCACTATTGCAATAATCTAGGATATTTATGGTTGAGACTTTATTAAATAAAGGTAATGCAGTCAATCAGTGGATAGAAATAATTAGATTCAAGACATTACTACGAGGAGAGCATGGAGATCACTTGGTGGCTTCTGCTATGTGGGGACTAAGGGAGGGTGAAGTCAAGAATGACTCTGAGGTTCTGAATTAGATAGCTCTGTGGAGGATGTTTCTGCTTAATTAGGCGCCCAGACTCAATTCTCAGTTCTCAGGAGGGAACTCAGAAGCATCTTTTTACCTTAACAATTCATTTCTATACAACAGTGTATGTCCTCAGGCTCATAATTTTGGAAATAATAAACTGTAGGAATCATGGTGGACCATCACTTTCCTGAAGTCCTTCTCTGAGACAACTATGGGTATAGAAAGTATTAATTTATCACCCTTTTCCCCCAAATAAAGAATTCTAAGGTTATCAACCTCACTGCTTAAGAAAGCTAAGTAGATTGAAAAGGCATGAAGGTGTATGAAACGACATTTCTTTGGAGGTATAGGGAAAAAGCAAATTAATTACACTGATCCCCTAACTTCAGGCTCTCTCTAGACTCATTTGTAGACTTGACTGTTGAAATCTGAGAAAAAAATGTTGTTTGGAGGGCAGACAAATGGGGATGTTGGAGATTCAAATATGATTTTTAGGGATCATAGCCCTCCCATGTGGGACAGACACTTGGACCTTAACGACAGGCTGTTCCCTAACCACACTGCTGCTTAGAATACTCTCCAATTCTGAACAGACGACATCCAAGTTATACATGTCGAGGTTCATCATCACATAAGATTTAAGTATTCCAAGTGTAATAATAAATCAGGGCCCATGATCCAGCTGATGGTCCCTATTCTAAGGCCTCAGTTGGGCAGGCTTGGGAGCCTTTTTGAATAAATATGTCTGCCTCACAAATCATGCTTATGCCAGTCACGAAAGAGGCCTCAGCAAATAGGGAACTGGCGGCCTGGAGGTGACTTAACTGCTCTTTGGGAAGTTCCGTTCTATCAGTTGGGTACAGCTCTTTTGTTTCCCTCATCTAATCCTCACAGCTAACCTTTGACATAGATATAACTATTATCCTTCAGTTTCACGAGGGTAAACTTGAAGTTCAGAAAGGTCGAGGTTCAGATGTCATTTATTCGAAATTGATCAAGAGCTTTAGGCATAAAGGCACTCAGCTTGAAGGGAGTGGAGTGGTGCCTTGAACCTGGCATCTGAGTTCAAGGGCAGGGTCCTTCCTATAGCCCTGTGTTAGGGCTCATTCGCTGGAGGTTGAGGGCAGAGCTGGAGAAAAGGCTGCTTGGGCATCCTGGCCTTGAGCATCCTGGCTCCCTGATCCCTCGGGAACCGCCTCATAGTTCTTTGCCTGCGGCACTGTGCTGACAACCCAAGGACCTTCTGATGCAAATTCCCCAGCGGGAATCGCAGCCTCTGCGATCCCGGAACCCAGAAGCTGTGTCAGCCCTGCAGTATTGGCTTGGCTGGGGTCAGGGTGAAGGAGGGCCCGCCCTGTCTATCTCCGGGGAGGTAATTGTGGGGAGCTGTATGCAGGGAGGGGCCGCGAGGGAAAAACTTTCCCCTTCTCCATTTTGGCTCTCAGTGATGTCGCAGCTTTTCTCAGCTCCTCCATTCGACCTGTACAGCCTTCAAACCCGATACCAGGTGCCCAAAAGAGGGTGTCGGGCCCCTCCCAAATGCAGATGTTCCGAGCCTCGCCTGCCCCCTTGGGGTCAGCGTCCGCAGAGAGCAAGGGACGCGCGGCACACGGGGTGGAGGGGTGCGGGGGACGTGCCAGCGGCGAATCGAGACTCGGACCAGCTGCACTAGGGCAGGCAGGTGAGGGAGGTTGCGGGGAGGGGAGGCGTCCCGGAGGCAGTCGCGGGTGGTGGCGGCGGCGGCAGCACCACGTGTCCGGCCGGGGCGGGGCGGCCAGGCGAACCTTAGGAGCTGAGCGCGAACAGCGGCAGTGGCGGCGGCGCGTCAGCCCCGCAGCAGCCGCTCCCCGCACCCAGCGCCGGCTCAGCGCGGTCTCCTCGCCCTGGTGCACACAGGTGCCTCCTCCTGGACGGCGGCCGCGGCGGCGCGAGGAGCGAGCGGGCAGCAGCGCCATGGGACCCCTTCGAGAGACCAAGGTAAGGAGGACACGTAGCGCGGACGCGGGTGGCAGTGTCCCTGCGCGCCGGAGGGATAGGGCAGGTAGCCACTACGGAGCGAGAAGCAGCCAGGTGCGAGCTGGAGGGGTGGCGTTTAGAGTCAGGATAAACGGGGACAAGGGGGTGGTGGGATGATGGGGAGACAGAGGGACATTTGCTCGGGTGATGAGATGGGTAGGTGACTCTAGAGGAACAGATTTGGGAGGTTGACAAGACGATGAAAAAGATTGTCTTTGGAGGGTTAATCCCATCTCCCGAAACTGGGTATTTGGGATCTAGCTCTCAATTGATGTCCTGTATGTGTGATATGATTAAAAACCATTTCATGTATCGGTGACTGAGAAATAAGGACTCCAGCATGTCAGCGAGCCAGCATTGGTTCAGGGTCTGCAGTGTGCTAGGCGGAGTGGCTGACGTGTGATACCTGCTGGGTGACTGATGTGCAGAACGAATCCAGAGACTGGGTGCGGCTCTCGCCCCTGAGTAGGCTGGATGCCTGGGCGACCTTAGGAGTTCCCGCGGCTGGGCTTTCCCTTCAATTCCTGCACTGTGCGGGCCTCCTAGAGGTGTTTACTTTGGCAGCGACCCTTCCTGGTAAGCAGCATGGAAAGGAGCAGGAGGTCATGTTTCAAAATAGTGGTTGTTACCTAATCTAAAGCCCGTTTTCAGTTGCAGAGGTTGGAGGGAGCATGTTTTTTTTTTTTTTTTTTCCCAAAGAGCTCCTCCTAGGAATCCATTTTAATAAGGCAGGGCGGTGGTGATTCCGAAAAGCAATGGACCTCAGGCCCCATTCTGCTTCTCTATGGTATGCTGTGTTAACTAAGTGTCTTTACTTACCTCTTTCAGCCTCAGTGTTCTCATCTGTAAACAGGGACCTAAATTAGTGTTCTCTCTGTGGCCTGGGTTATAAAGACCAAATGAGATAAAGGTTGGGAATGCACTTTAAAATTGGAAAAACATGGCCAAGATATTGCTTTTTATGCATTAAAAAAAAAAACCCCAAGGCACAGCCCTCTGTATTTCCTGCTGTGTTTTTAAGAGACCGAAAGATCTCTTCTCATGGGTATCCTGTAAGGAAAACAAAAGCTAAACATGATGTAAAAGGTGGAGCCATCTTACCAGGTATTGGATTTTTGTTTGCTTTTCTGTTGGCAACTAGCCTTGGGTACCAGGATATTAATGAATAATTAAGCTCCTGGACGGAAGAGGAGGGATTTGAAAGATAAGGCTGCATGATCTATCAGGAGAGAATTGTTTCAGGTGCGTGGGGCCTACTTTGTGAGGAGACAGGAAAATAGAAGTCAGATTGTCACCGCTAACTCAGGGACAGCAAAATGGAAGTCTAGAGGAAATCTAATAGTGTGCTGAGGGCAATACACATCCTTGAGACAGTCAAAAGCTTGAACGTGGTAGAAAAAGCCAGAGTGAGAAAGTGAGTCAGAATGCCCTGGGAGTGTAGAACGGCCTTCCTGCCAGTGGGGGAAGAGTGTATGTTAGTGCGTGTGTGCATCCCTGCTCAAGCGTGTGCTCTTCAGTGGGTTAGAAGTGTTAGCTCAGTGGAAGAGTTTTGGAGATCATTTCTGCAACTGAGATAAGCGCTATTCTGGGAAGATTCACTCTTCAGAAATGTGATTTCTTAGAAACTGAGCCCAGAAGGAACAGACTGGAGCTCAGAGTGGGAAACAAATTTCCTTTTGTTTTCTTTTTGATGTCCCACTTGAGAAGGAGCAGAGAGTGCAGCATCATGAGAAGGAGCTTTCCCGAAGCCGAATTCCCCGTTTGATTCTTCGGCCCCACCTGCCCCAGCAGCAGCACAAAGTGTCCCCGGCCTCAGAGTCTCCCTTCTCAGAGGAAGAGAGCAGAGAGTTCAACCACAGCAGCTCCGGGCGCTCAGCGAGGACCATTAGCAGCAACAGCTTCTGTTCAGGTACAGTATGAAGTGTGTGCATTGCGAGTGCATTGTGAATGGATCTGGATCATACCCCTGAGGGCCTAGAACTAGATTTCTGTTATTAGGATCAATTGGTCTGTGGTTGCACCTTTTTGGCTGTTTGACCTACAAATACAGCAGTTTTATATGTTCTTTTACTTTATCATTTACAATGTACCTTCTAACTTCTTGTTTCTAGAACTGTTTAAAAAAATTTTTGTTAAATCTGCAAAACATATTAGCTTGTATTTTGCACTAAAAACCTTTGTAAGCCTGTGGACTGCTTTTTATGGAATCCCCAAAGGTAAAGCAACTCCTAAACCTCAGGATCAAGGAGGTTTTTATCCCAGGACTGACCTTGGAGTTCTGATAAAGGGGTAGAGGACTAGATTTGTAATCTTCCAGGCCTGAGCTGGAATCCCTGGCTTTGTCACCATGTACAAGCAGTGTGACCTTGGGCAAGTTGCTTAACCCCTTAAGCCTCAGTTATTGCATCCATAAAATGGGGTAACACCTACCTTGTAGAGTTGCTGTGAGGTTGAATGAGACCATGTACCTAAATATACTCCTGGCTCAGTGCCTGGCTTATAGAAGGGTTTCACAAAGAATGGTTCTTAACATGATGAACTAGCGATGTCAGTTTTGGCACATAATTAAGGAAGTTTCCTGAAAGTTCTGAGCATATTTGGTAAAAGTACAAATCTCTTCAGAGCTCTGGAAGTCGCCACCATTACCACTTGACAGAACCTGGGATGCTTCCTCATTGGAGCATGTGACTGAGGAGGATTTGAAATCTTTAAAAAGATATTAGGAATTTGGGTAAAAATTAAATAAGTTGACTGTTATGATGAATGAAGAATGTTTCAGAATGGATGATTTTTAGAACTTATTTAGGGAAAATGAATTTGAAGATTGACCCATTATGAGAAGGAACATATGAATCAAGATGCTGTGATTAATACCCTAATTTAGCAGGATATAATATACCATTATATTTAGTATTGGTAAACTACATTTTTCAGGGATTTTTAAAAATAAGACTTTGGATTAATTATATACTTTCACAAAAGGATTTCATCTACAACTGGTGTATTAGAAATACTGTGCTGCCTATTTTTAATTTTTTTCTCTGTAAAGGCTTAGATTATCTCCTTGGTTCTGAAAAAAAATCTATCAAAATGTTATATTTTAATACTTATTGCTGTTGGAATGATATGAATCTACTTTAAAATGGAAACCCACTGATGGTTTGCTCGATAAGGAAGAAAACAAGAAAAGTGAGAAGCTGGAGCAGTTAAGATCCTGAGAAACTAGAGTCGTGTTTGCAGAATGTAGTGCTGTTTGCTTTCCCTCCACTGGGCGCTCTGGAATCACCCTGGCAGAGTGTGGGTGAACCCAGGGGATATCCCTTCAGACGGACATGGCTTTGTTTACATAACTCAGGTCCGCATTTATTACTGATATTCTCTCCATATAGTCATTTGCTCAAACTGACTTCAGGGTGAGTAGTGTTATCGGAAAAGAAGAAAAAGTTGGTCAGAACAAAAGAAAGTCTCCAAATCTATTTTAGAAAACATATTTGGCAAACCGATAGAATTACTACTTTGGGTCATGAATCACTCTCTCTGAGACCCGTTCTCTGGATCAGCATTCCTTCCCAAAAGACCCATCTCCCGCTAAGGCCATAATGCTGTACATGAAAATCGAAGGTAGATATTGATTCTTCTGCCATTTCCTAGCTGAAAATTGAGTGGCAGAAGCATCTAATGATGGGTGTCTATAAACCTGCCTTTCCATCTAAAGCCTTGCATCCTGTCTCCTGATGGAATCCCCTCTGTTCCTGGACCTCATCCTCCTGTGCTGGCAATTCCCCAGGGTCTGGGTTGGTGCCTTTTCTATCTTTGTTTGCTTTTCCTGCAGAGCCCAGACAAACCCCACAATGACTCTGAGTGCTGTGCTGACTAAAATTGACAGGAGAAAGGCCTTTGGGGGCGTGTTAATGATGCTTTAGGAGGTCAGTCAGTGGATGGGAAATAAATGGGTTGGTACTGTGGGAGCATTAAAGCTGCAGGCATTGCGGTAGAAAATGCAAAAGAGTCCGACCAGCAGGGGGAAATAGCTGGTTTTAATCCAACCATTTTAACACTAGGGCCAGAAAGCATGTTGGCTGCTTAATCGTGACAGTTAAGTCAGAGACCAGGGTACATGCAAATATTACAAAAGCCATCCTTTTCTATAATGAAACTAAAATTATTCAGTGGTGTCTGTTACTGCCATAGATTCATAACCTTACAGTGATCAGTCTGCATTAGCTTATCTCTTGTACAATCATGTTGTTCTCTAATGTGAAAGGGGACACGCAGAGTTAGGGGGATTCTTACAATCTGGAGACGAAATGATAGAGGAAGATGCAATTTAATTTGAAAATTACATTTTAAGAACTGCAACCTAGAGACTCTCCAAATCTGTATCAAAGGCATTGATTGTGAAGAGCATCATCTGTTCTAAGATATTAAGTTATTGAAAGAAGGATAATGTGGTGAGTTTACACAAAGTTAAATTTACTTAACATAAAGGATTACCCTTTATTCTGAGAGTCTGGCTTTCCTATTATTCATAGTGTAACAAAAAAAATCATGATAATGGTTTTGTTCTCCACCCCCACCCTCATTTTCTCTTTTAATTTCACTGATCTGTGAAATTAAAACGCTGGAAACTGTTGGCAAAGTGACCTGTCCATTTTTACTCTTCTCTATTCCTGCCCACTGCTTTCCGCCTTCTTTCCCATGGGAGCCTCAACAAGGAACAGTTAATGACTTGATATTCTATATGCTAATTTGTATGTTGTATCTGTCTCATTTCAGGAAGGAGTTGTGTGTGACCTTTGGCAATTCATTTGGGGTGTGTCCCCAAAGAGCTCTTCTTTTAATAGCTTCTTATTAGCAGAATTTCTTTGAAGATATGCATTTTGGGGCAATGTACTGCAACATCATTCTCCTTTTAACAGTCTATTCCTTACAGTGTGTATTCCTGTTAGTCCCTGTGACCTCAGTTGTGTGCAGTTAAGTTGATATGGGAGGCTGGGCCTTATTTTGTGTGCATAACAAGTAAAACATTGTATACTTTTAGTAAATATTAACTAACACTTCCTTTGAAAAAGAGAGTGCATAAGGAAGTACAACTACTAGTAACAAAACACCTGCTCCCATGTCCCCCCTTTTATTTTTAATCATTTTTTAACCAAGGTGTCAGCCTAGTATCTCCCTGTCTTTTCTTCTGCAAACTCCCTGCCTGTGTTTCTTGTTTTAACATACTCATGAGAACTGATAAAACCCATATGTATGATTTGTGTCCTGGGTGTGGCTCACCGCATCGAGGTCTGTGTCCATTTTTCTCCCCTCCTTTTTTTGTTGGTAGTTAATTGTGTTTGTCATCATACTGGGACTCCAGCCACTATTAGCAAAGCTGATGACCAGGGTGAGTAAGTCAGTCACATACATCTGTCACCAGACATGGTTAGCAGCATGCTGGGCATTCCTTTTTGCTTAGTTGAGACAATAATTGCCCCTTAGAACTGGGAGGCAGATGGATTGCTGGATTTTAAGCTAGTTCTCCTTGGGGTGCCTTGTAAACATGGCAGGTGGAACAAATTATGCATATAGAACACTGGTGGTTTTATGGGAGACCACTTATTTCTCTGAGTTATTTCCATGTTTCTAATCTGCACACACAGGTACCCAGGCAAGTTTGTGACTTAACCCATTAAGAACTCTCTACCCTGTCAACTGCTCAGTGATCAGAACCCAAGAGTCTTTGCTGTCTAATCCTGAGTAAGGAAGGCGTTTGCAGAAAGTGTTTTGGTGTGTGCAGTGGCTATGAAGAAATCCTTCTTTGAGTGCCATGACTGGGAGGTAATCATTGTTGCTGTTTGTGGGAAGGACAATTAAGGCAAATTACAACCTGACTAGTGCTCTGCACGGCATGACAACGCCTCCAAAAATTTGCCAGGCTTTGCCAAGCAGAAATATTTCTGCTCCGCTTTTGTCCAGTGGAGGAAACTTGGCATCTGGATAGAGTGAGCCTTTGAACATAATGAACAGAATTGAGATGAACTGCTTAAAGTAAAGTGAGCTGCAATACCAAATTACAGCATAATTGAATGACTGCCAACCTGCTGTGAAGAAAGAAAAAAAAAAGACCCTGAGACTTTAGTATCATTTTAATGAGGAGAGAAGTTAGGCACAGTTGCATAATGTATATTTCAGGTGCTTAGCTGCCTCAGTCACAGAAATAAGTACCTAATAAAATAGGTTACAAATGAAGGGTACATAGGCACTATTTCTGTGAGGATGTGGTAACTGCAGTTAGGACAAGAGCAAAATTTTCTTGACAGTTAGTTAAAAAAATTACTTAGCGCTAGTGACTGTGAAAGTAATCATGGTGGAATTGGACCATGCCTGGAAGCAAATTTTGGGACTGGATGTGAACATCTTTTATGTTCTAAAATACTCATCTCTGTCACAGTGTTTCTTAATTTGAGAGTATGGAATCCTTGTGAAAATGCTCTTAAAATGTGGATGCCTTACTCCCACCATATCATCTCAGGATGGGAGGGCCCAGGAATCTGTATTTTACAGGTTTCCCAGATGATTCTTAAGTCAGCGTTAAGTCAGCCTCACTGCTGTGTGGTCTGAGTGTGTTTGGAGATTTTGTATGAGAACTGCAAGGAGTATGTCCAAAGGGGCCTCAGCAGATGAATGAGGGTCAAGGTGGTGGAGGTGGTGGCCAGCTGGTCAGGGGACAAGGAAAATGCCTGCACATTCCTTGGAAATTATAGCTTCTCACTATCTATTTACTATTCCTATGCCATTAGTCCTAACAATAATATTATTTATATCTACATAATGGATTTAATTTGTGTTTAAATGGAAGGAAAGTGAAGGGGAAGAGAAAACATTTTCTTCCTTTATCTTCCTATATAATGCTCTCTCTGGATT